GAAGTCCCTCGGCCCTTAAAGGGGACAGGTTGCCTACCCCTGGCCTAACCTATGACCCACACTTCTGTGAGCAGGGGAAACCCAAGAATGGGGCTATTCTTAAGGTCCAAGACAATGTATTCAATTATGCCAGTTTAACACTTATCATAGCTTTCTGATTTATGATTAAAAGAGGGGTGCCCCCTGACCATTTTTGTGGCCCCTAGGGGTAACTCCCCCCCCCCAGAATTATCTAGGGGTGTCAAAGGCATTTACACCATTTTAGAGCACCCTTGGAACACCCAGGGGTCAAAATAAATCTTTGCAAAAAATATAATTTTTTGCCTCAAAACTCTCCTTAGGGGTCCAGGAAGGCCCCCAAACGTGTCCCCTCGAAGGAATGTGGGGAGAAAATGTGGGAGTAGGTGAATTGGGGGAGTGCAGCCCACCAAAGTATCCTGGAAGACAGATGTTGCCCTCATCTTCCATAGTTGCCTATCCCTGATTTAAAAGATGATTCATACATTTGTAAGGCATGGCATTTGAAGAAATTTCTAAAATTCTAGAACACTGAAATCATAGACAAGATTTCACACACGCACAGCTTACTTTCATTTTAGCTTCAATCCACTTCATGTTAGTAGCAGCTGAAAGAAAAAGAGATGCTTAATGTAAGTGACACAGATGCATAGCTAAGCTATTATTAAAATCTATTTTTCCTATTGAATCATTATAATCTGGATATAAACTAATTATTATTCATGAAGTATAGATGCCAAAATATAGATGTAAAGTCTCTCTCATCTCAACTAATTTGTAGTTTGCAGTCAGCTCTCTCTCTCTCTCTCCATATTCATGGCAAACAGGCCATCTAACACTTTCAAGAGGAACAGTTGTGTAAATTGGCCGTTACCTTCCATTCCAGCTCTACCCTATGTCCCTGTAGCTCTTTGAATTCTAATTTCTCTGAGCTTCTAGACTATTTTAAAATGTGAGTTAAAGAAATAATGCAGATGAACAAAAGGCACATACTAACCAATTTATTAACAAGAAAAAGTCAAATATATGACACATATGCATTAGAGTATTACTCTGTTTAACAATTAAGTATGACACATGTAGGAGCAAGTGGAATAACTTTTCTCCAGTGCCAAATATGCATTACTTTAGTAGCCTCCTCCTCTCACCTTAAATTCAGCAAGACAAACCTTGTTTGAAAATGAAGTGGAAATTTGTTAAGCTTGCAAAAAGGAACAGAAATCTGCTGTTTAGGAAAAATAGTCAAAAGGTCCACCATGGGCTACTCAAAAGGTCCACCCATGGCCTACCTGAAGTAACTCTTTGAATCCCCTTTATGTTTACTGCCAGCAAAGAGACATATCCTATTTTCTGGATCAGAGTCCTTGCTCCAGAGAGCATTGTGTTTTATCACAGCTGCTATGAAGGATGCTTTTAATTAGGTATTTATTTTAATTAGCACAGGAATTCTGTGCTGCCTCCCCATAAGAAATGAAGGCTTCACTGAATCATTTCTCACAACTGCCAAAAGAGAAAATAGCACTAATTGTACAACTTGACCAGAAGAGAAAAGCTCAGTACCAAAAAAGATGCAAGCCTAGTCTCTGACATCTCTAGTAGATATTCCTATCAGGCAAATCATAACACTAACACAACATAAAGTACTTGCACTTTGAAAAGAAAATAACTTACACCAGATCACAATATCATAGTCTTCATATGCAGATGTCAGGAACTCATGAAGGTATGGCCTCATCAGCTCAATCCCAGTTTCTGCACATGACCTGTGATCTGGAAAGAAAGCCAACTAGCTCATTTTAGTAACATTCTCCTGCAAAGCACCTTTGAAAGTGAAAGACATTTGTAGCATAAGGTTTCATAGACTGAAGGCCTAAGCCAGGGGTAGGCAACCTTTTTGAGCTGGGGGCCGGGTTGCTGTCCCTCAGACAATTGGGGGGCCGAAGCACCAAAAATAAATAAATAAATAAATAAATAAATAAATATTTTAAAACAAATTTTAAAAATATGCATGCACACTCTCTCAGCTCCAGAAAAACCATGGCAAAACCCCTGTGGAGATTTTGACAAGAAAACCCCAAGAACAAGTAATAACAACAATAATCAATATCATAATGGCGGGCGGTGGCGGCGGTGGCGGGGGGCAGCGGCGGCGGCGGCAGGACCGACCTGGGGCCGGTCCAAAGGTCTCGGGGGCCGCATCCGCCCCGTCCCCCCCCCCCGGGCCTTAGGTTGCCTACTGCTGGCCTAAGCAGACTGCCAGAAATAGTGCACATTAAATTGAGGCACTGCCCTGGCTCAGTGCTAGGGAATCATGGGAACTGTATTTTTTTCTGAGACATTGAGCCTTCTCTGTCAGAGAGCTCTGGTGCCACAATAAATTACAGTCCCATGATTCCCTAGCACTGAGCCAGGGCAGTGCCTCAATTTAATGTGCACTATTTCTGGCAGTCTGCTTAGGCCCTGAGTCTATTTCAACAGTTGCATGGATCTCCATTCACCGGTAAATGGATTCATTTGTCCTGAAGATTCATGAGCCCCTCACTGGTGCCATAGGATGCCAAATTTTTGTCTTTGGTTGTTTCAACTGTTAATTAACAGATTTGTTTTAATATTTTTATTATTCAACATTTTGTATTTTTACTTGAAAGTAACTTTTTGAGGATTAGAATGAAAAAGACAGGCTATAAATATATTAAACAAACAAACTGAGTAATGATTCAAACATAAGACACACCACTTACCAAACAGCGTGTAATCAACATCTAGAACCAACAATTTCTTCCCTTCCCGTGGAGGATTCAATATTTCCA